ATAATATATATATATATATATATATATATATATATATATATATATATATATATATATATATATATATATATGAATACTTTTGTTTAATTATGGCTAAATTAATTACTATTTGTTTAAGATTAATTTTTTATTTTTCAAAAAATTAAATTATAATTTCTTTTTTTTTTTTCAGACATTGGTAGCTAAAAACACACAATGAACATAAAATCTTGAATAATTTCGACATTTCAAAGCCATGTCAGAAATGTATGGAAACAAATGAATTTGTTGCAAGGCAAATTGATCATTGTAAGTTATTTCAGATATTATTAATTTAAACACTTCAAAAAATTTCACACAGTTTAATAATATGTATTACATTGGCAGTTTTTATATTCATATATAATTTATTTACTTAATTGTCCATTTATTTATTTATTTATTTGTTTTATTTATTTATCTAATTTATTATAGTTAAAGTTAGGTATAGCATACCAATTTTATTTCGAAATTTTATCAAGTAATCTTAAATTGTTAAATTCATTATATTTCAAACTTTTCAAGTACCATTTTAATCTTTACCAATCTAACTTGAAAGATGCTTATCACTTATTAATTATTACTAATATTTTAATTTAATTATATTATAAAAAAAATAATAGTAATATTATACGGTTAAGATTATATTTTCATCTCATGTTTTATTATCCTTTTCATTTTTTTTCTTTTTAATTATTTTTAATTAAATTTAACCGTAACACTACCAAAAATCTTTCAGCTAATTTACATTATTTAATCCAATTTTGTTAATAAAAATACATAAATGGTAAAAATAAAAAGACTTCTAAATTGATTAATTATTCTTCTCTTATATCGATGCAACATAACATTATTCATGTAATATGACATTATCATGCACAACAAATGTAATTTCTTAATTATTATTTACCTTCGATTAATTCGGAATTATTTTTTAATAAAAATTAATTAACCAAAAAATTAAAACGATTTGAAATGTGGTTTGTTTTTGATCTTTTTAAATAATAATTACAATTAATAAACAGTCATAATATTGTTTTATAGATAGTCGTTTCATATTTCCATCAGTATTTTTGCTCTTTTTAACCTGTTATTGGTTATATTATTGTTTCACGAGGGACGATTAATTTATTAATGGATTTAAACAATAACAAAACAATCAAAATTCATTTCACCTCCACAACTTTTGCTACATTATTATCATTAATTATCATTGCTAGCGTTGTTTTCTTTTATTTTCTTTTTTTTCTTTTTTTTTTGTCATTGCGATTGCAAATTTTACAATAAAATTTATGCATGATTCTCGTACTTTCATATAAGTTACAATATGATGAAATAAATCTAGAAATAATTATCACTGTATTATCACTACAAAATAAATTATGGGATAAAATAGACGGATGATGTGAGTGTTACATGTTTACTGTCAAATAAACATGTAGGGATTCTTCTTCTTCTAACTAGGTGTAATTATTAGGAAATTTATTGTATGCAAATTTTGGATGAATTAATTAGAAATATTACAAGGATATTTCATTATGCCTGTTATATAATTATATGATCAAAAATTTTAATTCAATTGTAATATATTGTAAAATTTACAATCCTTTAACAGAAAATTATCATATTTGAAAAGCTTTCATCAGAATTCCTAAAGTTTATCAATTCTGAAAAATAAAATAATACAATTAAAGTGGGATATTCTATATTTTTGCTTAGTATTACTTTGTGAAATGTAACGTTGAAATTACAAAACCTTCGTAAATTCAACCTCAAATTTGCGTAATTAAGCCATTGAATTGAATGAACAATATTAATTTAGCATATTCATTAATTATTACAACACCAAAATTAACGCTTTAAGCTAATTCTAATATCGTCATAATAAAATAAACTTCGAGAACATTACTTTGGAGAATTGAAAGGAAGGAATGCAATTCTCTTGCTACATGCACAGTTTAAATATACATCTTTCAAGGAATGGTTTTACGATTACAAGGATTAACGCCTTTGTTAGTTAGCTCAAGCTAATAAAGCATTCTTTGTTAGCTCATGCTAATAAAGCGCTCTCTGTTAGTTGCTATATGTTATTGTAGGGCTCTTTGGATATGGTAGCATTTATTCATGACAATAATCGCAACTTTTTATATTTGAAATGTTTGCATATTTCAAAAAGGGGAAACTTTTCATTTCTTACTACTAAATAAGAGAACAAAGTTGCAAATCATATTCGTTTTTCTTTCCAGTTAAGGATAAGTTTGTAAGAATCCGGATAATACAGTAATGCTGTAAAATGTAATGCAGGATTCTGAAACGGAACGTTTTGTTTAATAGAATGATGCTGTAAGAGATAATGCAGGATTCTGAAACGGAACGTTTTGTTTAATAGAATGATGCTGTAAAAGATAATACAGGATTCTAAAACTTCTGTTTGATAGAATGATGCTGTAAGAGATAATGCAGGATTCTGAAACGGAACATTCTGTTTAATAGAATGATGCTGTAAAAGATAATACAGGATTCTGAAACGGAACGTTCTGTTTGGTAGAATGATGCTGAAGAGATAATACAGGATTCTGAAACGGAACATTCTGTTTGATGGGATAATGCTGAAGAGATAATACAGGATTCCGGAATGTTCTGTTTGATAGAACAATGCTGTAAGAGACAATATGGGATTTCGATCGACAATGCTACATAACAAAAATTCTGTAATTTGTGTAATTTTTTATTAAAATTTTATTTTTTCAGATTAAAATATGCAAATTTTGGAATTGATTGAATTTCTTTTTCCTATTTCACAGAGATATTTATTTATAGAAATAATTAGAATAACTTTTGCTTACTTTTTTATTGCATCAAAGCGAAACAGTCTAATTATCATTGAGCTAATAATAAATTCCATTTTGGGTGCCATTAACATTGGAACCCATTCATGTATGGTACATTTCATTCCTTATGCCATTTCTTTTTTCTTCTGTTATCATTTCGTTTAACATCGAGAAAATGATAAGCTGTTAAGAAGGATGCTAGTAATTAATTTACATCATAAAACTACAGATTAGGCTTAGATGAGGAAAATGTTAGCTGTGGATTGATTCAAATGCTAAATTTTCTTGAAGATTAGTAGGAAATTATAAATTCTAATCGTTTTCTTTCCAAAAAAAAAAGAAAATAAGGCACATCTAGAGGATAACACGAAAATTATTACATTTAAATTCGTTATTTTACGTGGAAATATATGTGAAACTTAGGTATAAATTCAATTAAAGCATAAATAAAACTTTAAAAATTCGTTGAAAAAAAATATAGGCTTATAATAGAATGATATAAATTTAATGGAAAGGAACAAAAAAAAAAAGCAAACATGTTAAAAGAGGAGAGTAATAATGAAATTAAAATTTTTATTTAAAAAATTTTAAAAAAGAAAATATCAACAGCAACAAGCATTCTTCAATAAGGCAATCGAATGATCACAACGATAAAAATAATAATATGAAGGTATAATTTTTTTTCTTTTTTAAACTAACCATTTTTCATTACGTTATAAAATTTTTACCATTCCCTTCTAAATGCTAAAAATATGTAAGCATGAAAGTTACATGATAAGCCTAATTAGTCGTATTAATAATAAACCTTATTGCTTACGAAGAATACTTATACCTAAATATGACTTCAGTATGTATTACATCACACGGATATGTTTGTTATTCCATCCATAAATTGGAAGAAATGGCGAAAAAAAATTTTTAGCATAAAAGTTGCATAATAAGCCTAGTAAACAGAACTTATACTTGCATTATACACACGCTAAAAATGCGTATAATTATTTGTAACTTTGCACGATACACGTACGTTACTTAACTTATAGTTATTTGACTTATAGAAATGATAAACAAAATTGTAGACAAGAATTTGTGTACTAGTTAAATTGACAAAATATCTTTATAGTTACTCGAATTATTTAATTATTTTTGTATTAAATAATTTAAATCATGTAAAGTTTTAATTAGAAAATATTTTAATTAATACATTGCATTCAGCAAATTGAATCTGTATATTTGGAAGCATTAGGCCAAAAAATACCAGCTAGCTATTGTCAACATTTCCAAGCAATTATTAAAGGGAAAAAGGATGCTAATGTAAGTGATAATGATAATGATAACTTAACAAATGCATTTCCATCTGTAAAAGTTTCCAAATTCGTATAAAAACATTTTGTTAAACGAAAATGAAAGATTCATTTATTTATATAAATTACTAAATCATTTATTCTTTACATTAATCTCTTCAGGGCGCTAATGAAACAAAGTGCGCCATTGCATTTTGCCGATACATGCATTACAGTTATCTTATCATGCATTATAGTTATCTTATCAAATAGATATAATAAGAAATATAGCGAATATTTTTTTGAATTGATCAAAAATTGTGATAATAGATTTCTTATATAGATCGAAATAATGATAATAAAAAACTTATATGAACCAAAACAATAATGATAAAAACTTAAAATAGATTGGAATAATGATAACGAAAGGAATGGCTGTGATAAAAGTTGAACGTGGATCAATTGCTGAACAATTGTTACAATTCGGTGATATAATCACAAATATTAATGATAAAAAAATTGAATCACAAAAAGAATTTGAAGAATTGTTAACAGAATTTAGCAAAAACGATTATAATGTTTGTTTTTCATTTCTTTTTATCATAATTGTAATAATAATTTTAGAGTAATATTTAAATTAATGATAATTTAAAAAAGAAATTAATGCAAATTTTGAATCAAACAAATTGCAATTATACTTTAGTAGAAAAAAACATGAAAATTCCACTTACAATTTTAATTAATTGACTTTGTAACAAAAAAAAGTGTACCTTATTTAGAATTATTATTTAACTATATTAAAGTTCTAATAAACTTTATTTTTTAATTGGAAATTTATAATTAATATAATTAATGATTATATACATGAATAATATGGTATAGTTCAAAATTAATGGAATTCGGCTAACAACAAAACTGAAAATGGAAGAACAACGATTTCCAAAAGGTTATGAGCCAAATACTAATTATAAGTATCACATTGCTGTCATATACCTCATACGAAGTTGTAAACTTGCGCTCGCTGTTAAATCATACAACAATAAGGTTAAATTTAAATTTATAAATTTTCATCTCTTATTTTTTTTTAAATTTAAAAATTATGTAGTAAGAATATAAATTAAACACAGGAAAAAAAATTAAAATATGCAAAATTTTGGCAAAATATAAAAATTGGAAAAGTAAAAAGTTACAAAGCAACATATAAATATTTAATTTATGTTTTTTATTAACTTATATTTCCATTTCTTTTTATTTTGTAAAATTAAAAACGATAAAAAATTAAATTTTTTGCTTTTTTCTTACCTGTTTGAAATTTAAACAGCAGTTTTTTGCTCTTTTTGATTTTTTGCTTTTTTATACTTTTGCTAGGTTTAATATGATTAATGGTTAGATATGATTTTTGGAATGAATAAAAGTAGAAGAAACTATTGGCAAAAAAAAAACGCTTAGATATAATTTTTGGAAGGAAATTTTTGTGAAAAAAAATTATTTAAAAATTTTAAATATTATCCTGAAAAAAAATATGTAAATTATTACTAAAATTAAACGATGAAGTATAAGTTCAATTTTTAATTATACTTATTTTGGAATAATTTTTACTTAAAGATAGATAAAATTGAAAGTTTGTTTTTGATTTAAATTAAATAAAATTATAAAAATATTTCTTTCTTTTAAGGTTTATGTTACACGTGTTGTTGAGCATACATTAGCAGGAATGAGTTTAACAACAGGTGATGCAATTCTAGATATTGACTCAATACCAATTACAACAGTTACTGATACATCGAATTTAATTTGTACTACTTTACGAAAAAATGGATATGTAATAATTTTCCTTTTTTTTTTAATTAATTTTTTCTTAATCATTTTTAAATGATACTTATTTTGGTAATAATTTTTTTACTTAAAAATAAATACAATTAAAAGTTTACTTTTGACTTAAATCAAATAAAATTATAAAAAAGATATATATATATAT